TTCATCAAAATCGGTTGAAAATTGACCGAGATATAAAGGAAAGAAAAAAATGCAGTATCAAAATTAAAAGTGATATAACTCCTACAATTTTAGATATTTTAAAAATTCCTTTCACTTACACATTGCTCTTATATAAAGCTATAATTTTACCAAGTATCATTAAAATCGAAGAACCACATGCAGATTCTGATATTTCTGACGTGGACTTACCCATCATCACAGTTTTCTTGAAAGTATCAAATTTATACCAAAGTGTATCAAATTGAGACCAAAATCTGTATCAATTTTTTATTTGATCCACATTTTGAGTATCAATTCGTTGCAATTTGATACTTTTAAGTTAACAGTGATTTCCATATAAGAAAACTTTTTAAAAATCGTTTTTTGCCCATAATTTTAAGGGGTCAGTACCACATCTCAGTGACTTTCCTTAAATTTTTTTTTTATTACAAAATTTATTTTATTTACTTCAAACTTTTTATACCTAAAAGAAGGGGTTTTAAACTATTAAAAAAAATTTATTCCTTATTTATTATAGATTATCTTGCTGTCATGGCCGCCTGAAAATGCCCCTACTTGTGATTGGCGGACACGATATCTCCAATTCAGGTCATCGAAAAATTGAATTTTTCATATTTTCTTGAAAAGTAAGCTCGTTGCTATCGTCGGAACTACAATCAACTATTTTCGATGAAAAAAAAAAGTGCCCAGACAGCACCGTTTTTCGCGGGAAGTTCCCCGTGTTAAGTTCGGAAACTAAGTTGGGGAGCTTCAGGGGAAGTTCAGGCGAGCTCTATATGTCCTCGGTTTTATAACTCGCGGTGCGAAGTTCAGGATAGTTATCCGATTAAGTTTGCCGAAAAATTGTGGATAAAAGTTTAGGAAATATTAAATTTTGAGTTTTACAGAAATTTGCTTTGTGAATTTCTTTAAAACTATCTCCGGAAAGTACTCTAAATAAGATATATAGGCAAATTTCCTGTAAAATTAAAATACAAGTTTTCAGTGAATTTTATAAGGTAAGTTTATTATAAATGTTTTATAATATTTATTAAATAAAAGTAAAATTAAAAAAATTTATTTTTCCCTTATTGCGCTTTCTTTTATTTTTCCCCAACATTAACGGCGCAATTTTCGGAAATAAATTTGGAGGAGCTGGGGATTGAACCCGGACGCGCAACACAACAGCCAAGAACCCTAACTACTAACCTAACCAACAACCTGAAGGTGGGTAACTTTCGGGTCTTTATAAGCTGCAAGCCTTGTCGTCATCAGTTGACACGAATGGCAGGAAAATTTAAAAATGTTTTCAACGAAATATTTTTAAATTCTATTATTAAATTAGTGTCATAATTAAAAGGGCATTGAAATAATATTGCAATGTTAATATTAATATTATTTGTGAAACTAGCAGCTATATAAAACGATTTAAGGTAATTCTTTAAAGTCACTTTTATTAGATTTAAAAAGAAGTATTAAAATCTAGTTTTGTGGGATAATTGTTTTTTCAAATAACTGTGAACCGTTTTGGAAATACAATTGTTTTTACAATTTTCTAAAAGTCTTAAATAAAAATTATCTCTTTATCGAATTTTGAAAAAAGACAAGTTTTTCACGTAACCGTCTTAAAATCCAGCAATAAAGCTTTTTCCTGTTTTTCCCTGGTCAATTCACAACATTGCTCAATAGGTAAATATTTATTAAATAATAATATATTAAATAATAATACTTAAATAATATTAAATAGTTAAAAATATAAATGAAATAATCGTAGCTAATTACGATTTTTAATTAATTTATAGATATAAAAATTAATAATAAGTTTCTTTATTATAAAAAATATGAAAAAACAATGCGTTGTATAAAAAATTTTGATTTAAAGAATGCAAGAAATTTATTTACAATTATTATAAATAATTTATATTATTATTGACAAATAATTATAAATATTTATTATAAAATGCAGATACTTTAATTTTTAAATTAATTTATCAAATTACAAATTGACGATTTAAATGTCCACCATACATCTCGGTAAATTTAATTAATTAATTAATGATAAAAGCCATAAACATACGTTGATAAATGTTCAAAAAGTTTTTCTAATTATGTTACTTTTAATTGAATAATAATTTAATAAAAATTTGACAAGTCCAGAATTTTTTATAACGAGATTCAGTATTTAATAAATTTCATTTTTAAAGAATTACCTTAAATCGTTTTATATAGGTGCTACCCGTGTGGAAAAGTGATGTGGGCCCCCAGCGGGGGCCCTTATGGATCGCCCTCATGCCATGAGGGCCGCATATGGATGATCCATAGGGGCCCCTCATGGAAACGACATGCTCATCGATGAGGGTGCCCCTACGGGCGCCCTTATGGGCCCTCACGTTTGCCCTCATCTTGCCCTCAAGTTTGCCATAATGTTTTTTAATCAATAATATTAATAATAAAAGTTAATTAATAATAAATAAGCTTAAGTTATGAATAAATAACATATTTATTTAATAATTATTCAATTTTAAATTAAATTCTTACTCAAATTGAATTTATTAATTAACGTTCTAATTAATTAACTGTCGGATATAATTAAAAGTAATAATAAATTAATTAATTAAAAAATTAAAAAATATGTAATTTATGCATACTATTAACGGATATTTTCATTTTTCAATTAATTCATACATAGAATCAATGATTAAACACAAACCTGAGAAATAAATAAATCTAACGCATGGGGGGAATCGAACCTACGACCTACGGACTATGAGTCTAACGCTTTACCAACTACGCTACGCACGCTACTTCAAAACGAATGCTAACTTCTTGATGCTATTTAAACTTCAAAAATACCTAACAAAGAAAAGTGCTTAACATCATTAAATTATATTTTCCAATCAAATGCAATTTATAAAATATAATTAATTATATGCTTTATGATTATTATCATGAATCATCTCAGGTGAATTTTCAAAAAAAGTGTAAATATATTTTTATTAAAAACGCGTTTTTCGTTGTTTTGAATCATTGGAAACATTCATTTTTTGTTGATAAAAAAATATTTGATTTTTGGACTTAGAAAATTTTGCTAATCGATCATGAGGGCGATCCATGCGGGCCCCTACGGTGGCCCTCATCTATTTTGCCATAAGTGTGAGTGTTATTTTCAAAAAAGTGTAAATATATTTTTATTAAAAACGCGTTTTTCGTTGTTCTGAATCATTATAAACATTAATTTTTTGGTGATAAAAAAATATTTGATTTTTGGACTTAGAAAATTTTGCTAATCGATCATGAGGGCGATCCATGCGGGGTCCCTACGGTGCCCCTCATGGATTCGCCATATGGATGAGCCCTCATGGGCCCCCGCCGGGGGCCCCGAACTCTTGAGGGCAAGATCGTGGCTTTTTCCACACGGGTAGTTTCACAAATAATATTAATATTAACATTGCAATATTATTTCAATGCCCTTTTAATTATGACACTAATTTAATAATAGAATTTAAAAATATTTCGTTGAAAACATTTTTAAATTTTCCTGCCATTCGTGTCAACTGATGACGACAAGGCTTGCAGCTTATAAAGACCCGAAAGTTACCCACCTTTAGGTTGTTGGTTAGGTTAGTAGTTAGGGTTCTGGGCTGTTGTGTTGCGCGTCCGGGTTCAATCCCCAGCTCCTCCAAATTTATTTCCGAAAATTGCGCCGTTAATGTTGGGGAAAAATAAAAGAAAGCGCAATAAGGGAAAAATAAATTTTTTTAATTTTACTTTTATTTAATAAATATTATAAAACATTTATAATAAACTTACCTTATAAAATTCACTGAAAACTTGTATTTTAATTTTACAGGAAATTTGCCTATATATCTTATTTAGAGTACTTTCCGGAGATAGTTTTAAAGAAATTCACAAAGCAAATTTCTGTAAAACTCAAAATTTAATATTTCCTAAACTTTTATCCACAATTTTTCGGCAAACTTAATCGGATAACTATCCTGAACTTCGCACCGCGAGTTATAAAACCGAGGACATATAGAGCTCGCCTGAACTTCCCCTGAAGCTCCCCAACTTAGTTTCCGAACTTAACACGGGGAACTCCCCGCGAAAAACGGTGCTGTCTGGGCACTTTTTTTTTTTCATCGAAAATAGTTGATTGTAGTTCCGACGATAGCAACGAGCTTACTTTTCAAGAAAATATGAAAAATTCAATTTTTCGATGACCTGAATTGGAGATATCGTGTCCGCCAATCACAAGTAGGGGCATTTTCAGGCGGCCATGACAGCAAGATAATCTATAATAAATAAGGAATAAATTTTTTTTAATAGTTTAAAACCCCTTCTTTTAGGTATAAAAAGTTTGAAGTAAATAAAATAAATTTTGTAATAAAAAAAAAATTTAAGGAAAGTCACTGAGATGTGGTACTGACCCCTTAAAATTATGGGCAAAAAACGATTTTTAAAAAGTTTTCTTATATGGAAATCACTGTTAACTTAAAAGTATCAAATTGCAACGAATTGATACTCAAAATGTGGATCAAATAAAAAATTGATACAGATTTTGGTCTCAATTTGATACACTTTGGTATAAATTTGATACTTTCAAGAAAACTGTGATGATGGGTAAGTCCACGTCAGAAATATCAGAATCTGCATGTGGTTCTTCGATTTTAATGATACTTGGTAAAATTATAGCTTTATATAAGAGCAATGTGTAAGTGAAAGGAATTTTTAAAATATCTAAAATTGTAGGAGTTATATATTACATTACCTTGGGGGTTCAAAAAGATTAATAATTAAAGAGAGTGAGAATTGCATCAGAATCACTCATCTTTGTTTATTGTCATGAAAAGAAGTATCCATCTCACCTTATAAGAGCGAGAACCTTATCAAATTTTTATATTCTTCTTTCAATGCATGTCTTTTGTTATCGTTGTCTCAAGTTTCCTAAACTATGGCCTGTGTATAAAAAGGAGCTTGATTCCAAAGGAGCTTCATTATGCTAATCATCACCTTAATAAAGACAGTGCCTTATTGTGAGTGCAGTGCTACGATTGATTATTAGTGCATTTTCGGTAATCGGTGAGCAAATTTTTTAGACTTTTATATTAATTTTTAATTATTAGAAAGTTTTTCCAGAATTTAATTTTTCTTAATTTTGTGATTTAGTTAAAATTTTGAAATTAAATTTCTTGAAGACCAAATTAAATAAACTTAATTAATTTAAAAAACAATTTTTTTTAAATTTAATTTAAAATCGGTGAGTAAATTTTTTTGGCTTTTAAATTCATTTAATTATTAGAAAGTTTTTTCAGAATAAAATTTTTCTTAATTTCATGATTTAGATAAAATTTGAAATTAAATTTCTTGAAAACCAATTTAATGAAACTTAATTAATTTTGAAAAAAAATTTAATTTAAATTAGTGACTTTGACTTTTAATTTAATTAGTTTATTGTATTATATTTTAACAATTTTTATTGTTCTTTATTTGAAATAGTTTATTATTGTACTTAACATGATTAAATTAAATAATTTTTTTCTTAAATTAAATTAAATTTTTTTTTGCTTTAAATATTTGTTATTAACAATATTTTTAAATTAATATTTTTACCCATTTTTTCTCATTTATTATTTAAGTTAGTTAATTTATATTTATATTAATTTTTTATTAATTCTTCAAGAAATTATTTTTGTGAGTGAACTTAATTATAAAAAATGACATTTTATTTTTGATTTATGGAAAAACCGTTTTTTAAATAATAGAAATACTTTAATATTTAAATAGATTAATAATACTGATTTTTTTAAAAATAAAATTAATTAATAACATTCTTATTTTAAAAATTTAACATGTAAATAAAATTAAATCTACTGATTTTTTAAAATTAATTATGCTCTGATTTTTCAAAAACTATTCAATATTTTTTTTTGCAGCATAGTGGATCAACTGCATCATTTTATTTGACCATCGCAATTCCCTCCGAATGGGTATAACCGAAAACTGATTTCCAAATGCTTCGCAACGTCTTAATGGTAGCAGTTGCTACATTCAACTACAATTTTTTAAAAGAAATGACTCCTGAGGATAGTGTATTTCTTCGTCATCAGCAATTGATTGTGCAAGTAGTGAAAACGGGAAACCAATCCTTCATTTTGCAAAGAAGACCGGATTTGGTGGTGCCACTCAACATCACTTGGCCGAAAACTAATGGTTTGGATAATATGAATTTCCAGCAATTAGAAATTGAAGTGACAGAGTGCACCGACAGGGATGTTATTGAAGATAGCAGGAGAATGGACGTTGTAAACCAGGGCATATTGGTAGTTGACGAACATGACAACGATGATGGTACGAACATGTCAAGCTCTAGTGATGAATCTATGGTAATTGACGAGGAGGAGAAAGTTGACGTTGAGAATGGGGATTCAATGGAAGTCAATGGTGAGCCAGACTCGACTGTTGATGAGATTGAAAAAGACGCAACTAAAGAAGGTAAAGAAGACATCATTGAAGGAAGCGAGAACGATATGGTTGTAGAAAAGGAGAGCGAGAACAATGAAACTGTAAAAGTAGAGCCAGAGACAGAAAATACTAATGTAGAGGAAGGAGCAAGCGTGAACGATACCACAGGCGGCACTAATGAAGAGGATTTAGTGAACATTAATATGAAAGAGCATTTGTCACATTTCATTTAAATTTTTCAAAATTGAAATTTTTTTTTTTAGTCTTTTACGTAGTGGTACAAAAAGAAATAATCTTTTTGTAATATTAAAAAAATTAAAATTTTTAAAATCTTTTTTAATCTTTTACGTAGTGGTTTCAAAAAGTATAATCTTTTGTAATGTTAAAAATTAAAAAATTTTTAGTTTTTACATAGTAGTTTCAAAAAGTATAATCTTTGTAATTATTTGTAAACAAATAAATTTGTAAACAAATAAAAATATTAAATAAAGAAAAAATTTTTAATAGCCTTTTGTTCTAATTAATTTGTTTGAAAGAGTTGCTATTAAAATTTTTAATAGCCTTTTGTTCTAATTAATTTGTTTGAAAGAGTTGCTATTAAAATTATTTATAATTAAACATATACATTTTTTAAAATTATAAATTTAAATTAAATGGAAATTACATATCACTCTCTTTCTAATTCAATTTTAATAAAAATTTAAAATATTGTGTAGGGATATTTGTTCATAAATAAAATTCAAAGATTGAGTTAAACAATAATTTTAATTTTTTGCTTTTTCAATACAAGTAAACTTTAAAGCGAAGCCTATTTACGGTGAGAAATACTATTATCGCATAAGACTTACTCATTCGCTTTCGGATGTTTTCTTAAATGACATTGTATATGTAACGTTATCTGATCGGTGGATGGCTGCTTCTCTACGCGTGCTATATATAATATCAACTAAAGGACCGGAAGTCTAAAAACTGACCTACATCAGATTCTTCGCAAGGTTGAGTAGCACAGAGTTTTTGATTAAATTATTTACTCATTTCATTTTAAAAGGCTGTTACGTTCAGAGCGAGAGCGAGGCTTTTAAATAGAATTTAATTATTTATCTTCACTTGAACCTATTGGCTATCAGGAAAGAATGTTCTATGTGTTAGTTCCTTGAAACTAACTTGAACCTATTAGAAAATCAGGAAAGAACGATTCTATGTGTGAATGAGAAGCAACTTGCACCTTTTTACAGGAAAGAGTTAGTGAAATTTTATACTATTAATATTAATTACAAATACGACAGTTAATCAACAAATTATTGACTCTAAGTGTTAATTGCTTCTCTTGCACCTTTTTAGGGGAAAGAAACTTGTTTCTAAGTGAAAAACAAAATAACTTGCACCTTTTTATGGGAAAGAATACAATAACTCGCGATTAAACTGAAGGGTCGCTCTACAATGATACTATCCGCACTGAACTACACCGGAACTTTTGACAATTACTCTTGATTTTACATGGGTTTATATAGGACTTTTGGTCCATGTATCGAGTGGGGAAAACCATTAGAGTAAGAGAGAACATGAATTTTGTGCTAAAACAGATCAGGGCACGTATTTTGCTAAAACTGTCTTAGGCACGTACGAGTTTTCTAAGAATTTATCTTTAATTATAATAGTGAATTAACTGCATTCAATCTTATAATCAATCAATAATTATTATAAAATTACTTGTATTGATTCATAATTGTAATAATAGTGTAAATAAATGTAATTATTTTATTGATCGCTTTATCGACTCATTTATCGATTGATTTATTGATTCATAGATTTATACACACAAACATGTTTACATCACACATGATTAATATCACATGTCTATGTTTACAACTCTATGCATTAAATTGATTATATTATTGATTGTCTTTTGTAGTCTTTAATTTTCTTTATAATTGACATTATATTTCGTCAGGTGCAGCTATGACATCATGTTTATGCTCGCGCTCGAGTTATACGTGATTCATAGTTCATTCGAAATCTACGTTCATTCAAAAGTTTATTCATTTTACTCCTTACTACACGTCATATTATATGATTTAAATAATATGAGTGAACGCATTCTTTCTATTTTTGAATTATTATTCATATAATTTAGATTGGTAATTTCCATCTCTTGATTGCGATTAATTACTTAAATAATTTATTAAAATAATAATAATTTATGAAAATTTGTAAAATTTAAAATATATCGGGATGTAACAAAGGCATTGGTGAGAATTACAGTAAAAATGTAATTTTATCTTTTAAAATTTATTATATTAAATTTATTTTGTTTTAGAATTAAATTTTTTTAAATTCAATAAATTATTAAATTTGAGAATTTAAAACTATAACTAATTATATTTAATTATAATATTAAAATATAATTTTAATATAATAATTATTTAATAATTATTTAATAATAATTAAATAATTCTATTCTTTATTTATTTATTATTTTTATTATATTAATTATTTTTATTTATTATATTAAATTTATCTTTTAATTTTACATAAAATCGTAATTTTTTAAATTTACATAAAATTGAAGTTTTTTAAATTTATAAATAATAATAATTAATAAAAATAATAATTAACTTACATATACCTTATACAATTTTTCTTACGATACCACTTAGTGGTTTATATTCTACAATGCGATCATGCAAAATCAAGCAATATGCTGAAGTGTTGGCGGGAAAATTTGCTCTCGATTCAAATTCTAAACGGATATCAACTGGTCCATTTTTTAGTGCCTCATTTTGTTTTGAACAATCAATTACAATTAAAGGAGCTGAGACTCTTTACCATAATAGATATGTTGAAAATTAGCATACATTTCATACAAAATAGAATATTGATTTCTAATAAAATTAAGATTCATATTACCATATGGATAACTTTGTGAATTTAAAAATAACTTTACATCAGATATATTACAATGGTCAAAATAGCTTGAATTTCGCGTAGTATTATTTTTCCTATCAGTTTGAAACCCTAATATAATAAATCTAGGTTTCTCCAATTGCGTTGAAGTCTTTACATTCCAAATATGTTTTTGAGTTAATGGTAATAAAGGATACTCATATAATTCCCAAGTTCTAAAACTAATAGGAATAGACAGATCTTTTTCTATATATTTTAACAATTTAAATTTTCGAGCGTCTGATAGTTTTATATACGGTAACATCCATTCAACTTTTTCAATTGAAATAATTGTAAACTCTTCAAGAGGTGCCACTTGGTTAACTGCATTTTAATCTGTTCTTGATCTTGTAAAAATGAGTTCATGTTTAGGGTTTACAATTATTTTTTGATAATCTTTGGCAAAGCCAAAAATCATATTTAGCGGAATACAAACGTCAAAATAACCTTCTGCATTTGTTAATGTTGCATCATTAACAAGTTCCAACCAACCAAGATTTTCTAGAAATTTACTTTGAGCAACATCAAATGAAACATAATTTTTCATTAAACTTGTAAGTGCTACATTTTTATTTTTATCAATTTCTACACCATTAAGCTCATATTTTGCTTCTTCAAATAAATGACAGACGCCATTTGAAACTATAGATGTGTTTACTACAGCTGTTCCATCATTTTTCAAGAGTCTTCCGGTGACATGAATTGTACTTTTACTCGGAAGTAGACACTGGTCTTGATTTTGCACAGTGATTCGAATTTCATCACTGTTATTGTATGTTGATGAGGTATATGGCTGCTGCGCATGCACTTCAAAATGTGCAATTGCTTCATCAAAAACAATTGGTTGTTCAATATTTAATAGTTCCTCGTCCATAACAAAAAACAATACGTTTATATACAAATACACAGACACAAGTACAAAATAATTTAAATCTTTTTAGCCTCTTTTTTTACAATTTTTAGGCCTAGATTTTTCAGGAGCTGCAGATTTTGAGGTGTTAATCGCTTCACAATTTTTCGTCGACTGAATTGTTTCTGACATGTCGTTTCAGTTTTATAACCAAAACCAACCTTGTTTTTATTGTTAAAAACAATACCCATTATCCATGAGACTTGATGTGTAATCTGATTGTTATAGTTTCTCCCCGAAAATTGACTATATTTCCGTCTTGATCAACAATTCGCACTTGAATATAATCTATTGTCTTGACGGAGACTGGCAGATAAATGACGTTACTTGGGACTTCCACTATTTTATATCCTGGTGGCACAACAGGAAAAAATTCATGAATTGTATGTACCTTTTCACCATTAATGTATGCGCCTGTAGTTTTGTTACACTCTACTCTTAATGCATTTATTCTAGTAATTGACACCGGTTGATCAGATTCATGGTATTCTCGAGATTTTAACTTCCGTGGGGAAAACCCTAACAAACTTCCAATAGAGTCTTTAGGTTTGAAATCAATTTCTTGATCGCAAAAAATTGTACATTTTAAAGTATTATTATTCGGTTTAATTTTTAAAGTAATTCCTTTGTTTTTCAAAATAATATGCAAAACTTGATCAATATCGTTAATTTCATAACTTCCTGTAGGTATAATAATTTCTTCATTTCCTACGTAAAATTTATTTTTTCCTATATCCACATTTGGAATAGAATGAAAGGATAAAAATTCAACAAGACCAAGTGTATAATTTTTAAAAGGAGACAATTCAATTGGTGGAAAGTATTAAGACTCTAAAATTGAAGAATTTCCAGACAGTGTTAAAATAATCGACTCGTTCATGGTGGTTTCAAATAATCAACTGACTCATAAAATAAAAATATCATTTATTTATATCAACTGAGTATATGTTAGATATATGTAATTGATTACATAAAAATTTAAGACATAAATGTCCACAGATAAATGTGTCATAATTTTGATATTTTTTATAATTATACATTACGTAATCTCCATTAAAATAACGAATAAGGTCTAAAGGTGGTCAAAGGTTGCCAAAACTATCAAAATAAACAATTTTATCTTGATTTTTTTTATAAGCACACCAATGTGTTCCTGGACCATCTTTGTCATCTAAATTTATTATTCCTGATTCATTTTTCCTGGGGCCAGTTATTGGCAGTTCATTACGCATAAAAACTCCTCGAAAATGTGGAATTTTTAATTGATTTACAAATTTAAATAAATCTACATCGGTTAATGGACGGTGAGGTAGCTTTACTTTAACTTTTTTTGAGCTTTTTTTTTAGTCCTCGTCCTTGCGTGTATGGTTTTAAATGAAGTCCTACTCTTTCCTTATAAGGTTTTAAATAGAGTCCTTTGCCCAAAGCAATTTCTTCCATTGCCTCATTATGACGTTTCTTTTCTTCAAATTGACGTTTTGCGGCACTTGCATCATTCACTGCTTTTGCGATACCAGCAGCGCCTCCTGCAAGTGCACCGGTCGCACTTAAACCCGCGAAAACTGGAATAAGGAAAGGTAAAACTCCCCCCACTTTTTTTGAAACGGGTAAAATTCGCGGCTTTTTTACTTTTCCCTTTCCACCAGCTTTTTTTACAGCTACTCGTGCGCCAAGCAGAGCAGATTTAATGACAGCATTCACATTACTGTCATTTGGATTCATTGTTTTTTTAGCTGCTGATACAATATTTTTTAATGTCGTAGATGGTCGTTTTTTACTCTTATTTAGACCCATACCCAATTTAGATTTTACTTTCATGGTGTTTGTTATTGCGTAAGCAGCAAGTTTTTCACCAGCACCAGCGGCTGGTGCGAGAACACGATTCCAAGCTTTTTCAGCGAGTACTTTATCAGCTTCGTTTCTAGCTTCAATATTTTCTCTATTTTTAGAATAAGCAATATCGTGTTCTTTACACGCAGAGTCTAGAGGATTAATTCCTTTGTCTCCACGGGCAAGTCTTTTAGCTAATTTTGTTCCTGGACCACAATATTGATACCCAGGAATATGCAACTCTACTGGTAAATTATTTATAATTTTGTTAATAAAACCTCTTCCACGTATTAACCCTTTCACTGTTCGCTTGCAACTAACTCGTTTCTTATCTGAATGCACAATCATATTCTTAAGACAGTTAAAAGTAGACTAAAAAAAATTTCTATATAAGTGACGTATTTATAGATTTTTATTTAGTTTAAGGAAAGATGGAGTTTGAAACACAACCAATGAAATTACCGGTAATTAATTTTGATACAGTTATACAAAAAAGTGACAAAAAAACCGTCATGGTAATTTATTACCAAGTAGTGTACGAGCAATATTTTGTGGCCCTTCCAACTGTGGAAAAACAAATGCTCTACTTGCGCTTTTAATTCATCCAAATGGACTAAGATTTGAAAATCTTTATGTATTTTCAAAAGTCTTTAAATCAACCAAAATATAAATTTTTAGAAAATGTTTTACAACCAATAGATGGTGTTGAATATTTTCCATTTACTGAGCATGCAGATGTTGTGGCTCCCAGTGAAGCACGACCTAACTCAATATTTATATTCGATGATGTCCGGTGTGAAAAGCAGGATAACATTAAAGCGTACTTTGCTATGGGTCGACACAAGGCCGTTGACTGTTTCTACTTGTGTTAGACATACGCTCGCATTCCAAAGCATTTGATACGAGATAATGTTAATCTATTAGTCATATTTAGGCAAGATGAAATGAACCTTAAACATATATATGATGATCATGTAAATACAGATATGCCATTTACGAGATTTAAAGAAATTTGTAATTCCTGTTGGAAAAATAATCATGATTTTTTAGTAATTGACAAAGATTGTGAAATTAAACATGGTAGATATAGAAAGTGTTTTGATTGCTTTATAATATTGGAGGATTAATATAATTAAATGACAGTACCTTTTTATACTTTGAATAAACAACATGCCTGCTTCACAGTTTAACAATTTGCAAAAGCAAAAAAACATTCTTGGTGAAATTGCTAAAGCAAGTGAAGCGATTCGACGAAAAACATCGATTAATAAAGTTGGGTAAAGAAGAAATTGAGCAATCTTTAAATACTACTTTTAAACCAATAGTCACTCCAATTCAAAAATTAGCTGATGAATTTGAAATCATTAAACATATTCGTCCACAAAAAATAAAAGTTAAAAATGAACAAGATTTTAAACAAGAGAATATTATTGATCCTAGTTTTAAAAATTCTTATGCAAGTTCGGAAATAAAAAATGAACAAGATGATGAAATGTCATTTAAAACTGCATCTTTTGATGACAGTATTGCACAAGATGATTTAACAACTCTAAATTCATCAACAAGTCTAGAGGCAAATTTTATAAATGATTATTTACACTTATTAGATAAAAAGAAAAAGGATCTGGACAATACATATGGGGTTCGAAAATTAGCCAAAGGAAGGTTAATGATTGGTGATTCACCAATAAATTTTGAAGAAAATAATATCATTATAAACAATTCAGTTTATCATGCAACAAAGGGTTTACTAGAACTTTTATTTAAAAAAACACCCCAAGAAAATTTCATAAGCTTTGACGATCGTGAAAATTATGCAAATATTGTCATTTCAACTAATGCTCACAAAAAGTATTATAAATCGGATGAAAATGTTCGTGAAAATAAAAGTTTAAAATTTCAAAATTTTATTGTGAAAAAATACCATCCCCAAAATCTGAAAAAAAGAGACAAGGAAAAGGCATAGTACCACAATATATGATTAATCAAGAAAATAAAAATATTGATTATATTTATTGGGATGATCCGAATGAACTAGTACACCGTTTACGATTACTTTTGGCGTCTCAAGCTGCCGGAAACTCCAGTCATAATAATGAAATAATTTCTATAATTGAAGAATTACGTGAAGCAAAAATTATTTATTAACCACGTTTTATAAATTTTAACTTCATTTGAAACATGAGTATCGACATATTCGGACGTCAGTTAAAGAACGCAGGGACCCCAAATCGCGGGCCTCCAGGACTCGGTATTAAATTTACATCTGATGGACACTTTAACATGGAAAATAAAAAATTATGCAACGTTGCCGATGCTCAAAGCAAAGGTGATGCAGTAAATTAAAATTTTGTTAACAGAATTATTGAAACTACAGCAAATGCCATCTATGATGTAATAGAAGCATTAAAAACCGATAATAATGTTAGAATTTCCACATTGGAAGATACAGCAACAAGATTTTTCGAAAATCTTAAATCGCATATTGAAAGAAATATAGAGTTGTTGTCCATGAAAGAGACCATTTCTATTTTGGACAGCAGACTACAAGCACTCGAAAAGAATCAACCTTTGTGAAAATGGAAAACAAAAAAGCTCAGTTGCTGAAAAAATTGCACAAACCAGTCAGAAGAAATTATAAACGAAGAAATGTTGACATTCGGGGAATTGATGAGACTTGGCAAGCTGATCTCGTTGAAATGCAATCTTACGCGCGAGAAAATAAGGGCTACAAGTATATGTTAACTGTCATTGATGTATTCTCCAAGTTTGCCTGGGCTGTTCCCGTAAAGTCCAAAAAGGGTGAAGATGTGACTGCGGCAATGAAATCGGTTCTTATCAAAGGACGCGTTCCAAGAAATTTACAAGTAGATAATGGAAAAGAATTTTATAATTCTCATTTTAAAAATCTTATGTTAGTTTATAAAATTAATATGTATTCTACTTTTAGTCATTTAAAGGCATCAATTTGTGAACGTTTTAATCGTACTTTAAAAAATAAAATGTGGATGAAATTTAGTTTGAATGGAAATTTTAAGTGGATTGACATTTTCAGTGACTTAATAAATGTGTATAATAATACTAAACATCGAACTATTAAAATGAAACCAAAAGATGTAAATATTTAAAATGCGAGACATTTATTATTAAATGTATTTAAAAAAAATTGTATAGAAAATAAACAAATAAGGAAATTTAAAATTGGAGATAAAGTGCGCATAAGTAAATATAAACATATTTTTGAAAAAGGCTATACTCCAAATTGGACTACAGAAATATTTAATGTAAGCTGTGTAAAAAATACAAATCCACCAACTTATCTTTTAAAAGATTATCAGGAAAATCCAATCTCTGGATCCTTTTACGAGCAAGAACTTTCTAAAGTTAAATATACTGATACTTATTTAATTGAAAAAATACTTAAAAAACAAGGATCCAAAGTACTTGTAAAATAGTTAGGTTTCGATAATACACATAATAGCTGGATAAATAAATCTGAATTGTAATAACTTTTATTTGTAATAAAACATATTTATTTGTTTATACAAGTTGTTTACATTAAACAAATTCCAATATTACTTATTTTAGGTATTAGTTCAAAAATTTCTTTTGACAAGTGTTTTAAATTAAAAGTAATAATATCAACAAATAATGTCTTTAATTCCAAATTTGATATAATATCGATTTTTCTTTCAAGTTTTTTAATTAAATTTTTATAATTTTTTTGAATAAAAATTTGAATTTCTTTTTCACTTTGTAACGAAAGCATTGTATTTAAAATATTAATTTGAATCGAAAGTATTTTATCAGCTTATTATTTCATATTATTTCAATGCATGAATATATATATCTATACGGTTGAGCTCTCAGCTCGACAGCCAGGAGGAGAGTACCGAGCGCGCATACTTTGCCGCGCAGCACGTGGTCTCTCTCACTCGCGCCATAGCTCCCAGTAGAAACGTCAAGCGGTATATACTTGCTTGCACGTACAATTTCCTCAGTTCGCCGTCGACCGGACTCGAGGCACATCTCGAGGCTGGACGACAGCAGCTCTCTCCTTTCCTCCTATTCTCTTCCTTTCTTATCTATCGCCGAGGGTGAGGTACGTCTCTCCCGAGGAATGAGATCATCCTCCCCAGGGCAGGCGGACCACAGGTACATCTGTGCTGCTAGCCCTGCCTACCTCATCCTCGAGGACGGTATCTCAGGTACATCTGGGGCCGACCTGGTGGATGTATTCCTGCAGAAGGAGTAGTACTCAGGTACCTTGGTACAAGAGTAACTCCCTTCGCCCTCCATCTTTTCTTACCTGCCGCGCAAGGTCTGACCAGGGGTACATCCGTGGAAGGCTGACGCGATCCTGACCCGCCATTTCCTGGAGAACCGACTCTGTGAGGACGAGGTACATCTCGTTCTTCACCGAGTTGATGCACCAGGTATTACTCTTCGACTAAAGGTACATCTTGAGGGAAGAGTAACCTGTATCTTTCCCCCTCTCTCTCCTTCCGCACTAGCTTCGCGTAGAGCATGAATGTCGTACGGAAACGGCATCTAGAAATCCTGATTAAGAAATCTCTAGTCGTGCACGAAACCTAGTTTTCGCTCGTCTCGTAGCTAGGGGCGTATTCTAGAACCTCCCTCGCGGAATTTATTATTGAGCATTTCACCCCGGGAAAATTACAAATGGCGAGAACTAAATATTGTCTTTTTACAGTATTGCGGCGGATCAAATGCAGCTCGATGCAGCACCATAGCGGCGTACCGTCTCGCTTCTTTTCTCTCTCTTTCCTTTATTCCCTCACCATTTCTAAATTCTTCTTCATCTCACTTCTCTCTACATTCTTTATTCTTTTCCACTTCTTTCATTTAGATTTAAGCTAGTTAGTTAGTTTTACATTTATTTTTTTACTATTGTTAATTTAGTTAGTTTAGGATTTTCTATTTTTTTGTATTTTTATATATTTTTTATGAGAGTTAATCAAGCAGCCATATTTTTTAGTCATTATTTTTATTGTTATTTCTTTTATTGTTTATTGTTTCTTTCTTACATTTGTTTAAATAAAACTGCTTTCGAAGGTTTAAATTATCGCTTCGTTACTGACTTTACCTACCTGCATATCACGATAATACTATTTTATACTTTTTATAAGAGAGCAAAGAACTCAAGAGTTCCTAAAATTTAAGACCCGGACTCATCCGGCGAGCAAATCCTTTGGCTCAAAATTCAGATCATTACATGGCGCCCGAACAGGGACTTAAAATTTTTTTTTTGCTCTCTCGGTTATACTAAGTTTAAAAAAAAATATATAGAGAAAAATTGGTATTTTGTGATATCAGGGTGGAAGAAAAGTACAATTAGTTCTCGTCATCGCGAGGGCGCTGTTGTCGATACTAGAGTGGGGATGGGTGGTTAAGGAATATAAAGACCGCGTTTAAAGAAAAAGGCGTAATCGATCAGTACCACTCATCGAAAACACTAAAATTTTTTTTTGTAAAGCAAGAAAGAAGAAGAAGACAGCATGTACTCTCCGGACACCGAGAACTGGGTCTATCAGACCATCCGTAGAATCCAAAAATGGTTCCCCGGCTACCACGCGTACGAGGTCCTCTGTCGAGTTGAGGCAGCCCAAAAGAGATTAAAGATCTCTACTCACCTTTTGAAACACGTATTCCCCGACATGATCGTCGGTGAAGACCTAGTTGCCCAAAAAGAAAGTATCTTAAAATTAACAAAAGATGAGCAAAAGGACTTCCTTGAGACCTGCTTCTTTAATCGTCGCCCGATTGACCTCGGCACCCTGACTAGCATAGTGTGTAGTCTAACTCAACCCTACGACCGTACTAAGAACTGTTGGCGCTGTGGTCAACGAGGACATCGCCGCGCGGATTGTAAAAACCCCCAAAAACAATTTTGTTATATCTGTGGTGTCGGCCCTATTTGGGCCCGATACTGCTGCTTAAGAGTAAGAAAATAAATTTTTTTTTTTTTCTTCTCTTTCTCGGGTAAGGCTAGATGCCCGAATACCCCCCCCATTTCCATCTTCTGGGAGGAGAAAGGGACCGATCTACTAGTATAAAAAGAGCAACAGATCATCCCTCATCACATTTATTCACTTAAAGTCATTGAGTAAACACCTTAACAAAATCTTACGCTTCCAATTTCTTTTAACCATTCAAAATGGGAGTAAAATGGATATACGGTTTATCGAAGAGCGACTTAATCGCGCAGATGGAAAGCTTCCGGATCGATACCAGTGGAACACTAGCAGAGCTTCGACAACGCTTTGTAGCATTTGTAAAAACACAACTGGAATTGCTGCATAAAACTAGGGATCCAGAAGGATACAAAGAAGATGAAGATATCTCTCGAGACACTTCCGCACTAGAAGATCCGAATTTGATCAACAACTTCACACCTGGCTCGCAACATCAACCTACAGCACCACTACAAGAACAAATAGAACAGGTAGACATCGAACTAAATCATCAATTTAGACTACCTGGAACATCTAGAACATCATCACCACATGAGGGCTATTCTGATACCTTTGTGCTGGAAAGGATGAGAAAATGGGGTTGTCAGTTTTATGGCAAAGATGTCTACACATTTTTAGAACGTGTAGAAGAATTACAGGCCGCATACGGATTTACGGACCAACAACTATTGAGAGGATTTCCGGAATTGTTAAAAGACGATGCCCAACTTTGGTATCGCAACGAGATAAGATATATTAGAACCTATGAAGAATTAAAATCAGCTCTAAGAAAATTTTATCTCTCTCCGAGCGAATTCAGACACCTGGAATCGCAAATAGTAAGGAAACTCCAAACTAAAGCAGAATCTATAAGAGAATTTTCAACTGCCTTGAGGACCATGATGAGGAGACATGGAGGTTATGACATTGTTCGGGAAATAGATACCATCTATTGGAACATGCAACCAAAGTATAGATTGCATATAAGGAGACACGAATTAGACTCTGTAAATACCTTAATTCAGAGAGTTGAAGAAATCGCGGAGATCCTACAAACAGTCAACGCCAAGGAATCAGCTTATCAACCAGTAGCAGAGATTTCCAAACCATATGATCCAAAAAAGGATTGCTGGCGCTGTGGGAAATCAGGTCATCGACGCATGAGTTGCAGGAGCAGGCCAAAGAAGTTTTGTTCATTTTGTGGAAAGGACAACATATTAACCAGAGATTGCCAGTGTGAGAAGCCGGGAAACGCAAAAAAGGTCGAACAATCGGAGTAAGTTCGACCTTATCATCTCCCGACTCCAGAATCTTCATCAACTGTAAATGTGAAGATCTAACCATCCCAGCCCTAGTGGATACAGGAGCAGCAGGCTCATTTATAGACATCCACACAGCAAATACTTTAATTGCTCAAGGGGGAGTCGCAAACTTAGAAGAAATTATTGTGGCCTTAGCAAATGGCACACAATACACAGTTAAAACAAGTTTTGACATGAAGATCGCAGCAGGGAAAACCAAGGTAAAACATAAGTTCTTGGTATTACCTGGTTTATCTCAACCAATGCTCATAGGTATGGATTTGTTAAAAAAATTCAACTT